CAGACTGTCAATATTTAAAACAAAGCTCATTGAAAATGGCTGCATATGGCGTTGGTCCAGGGGACCAATAGAGCTCCAGTGAGTTCCTTGTGCTCTGAGACCTCTATGCCAGAAGTCTGTGCAGCAGGCCTACATAGGCCACAGAAGGACACCACCTTCTCCAAGGAACTTCCTCACAAAGAGCACTATTTTTTTTCCCATTTTTCTTAGGCACAACTAAAGACCTTTCTCTCATGAAATAAGCACGAAACAAGAGATCTGTGGCCAAAATGCTAAAAACATGTTCAAGGAAGAAGAAAAGGGGACAAATCAAATGCCTACCTCCCCATCAATACCATCAACTGGGGCCACAACAGCCTTGTAAGAAAACACTGACACCCTAAAACCTGATCGAATGTAAAGTGAAGACATTATGTTCAACTACACAGCCTCCAGGATAGTCCTCCCTCCTGTGCAGGGAGCTGACAGCAGGGTGTCTGACTCACTGAAGGGGRTGTCACTTTGCTTCATTATTGTAAAGAAAATCTGTCAAGGCACCCTGGGTTTGTGGCCCCACCCCTGGGAACAGGATGGAGCCCAGAGCCACACCCATGTGCGAGGAGTGCTGGTGGATTTGTTCTATCTTTGTTCTTATTTTGAGATAAGGTCTTGTTAAATTGCTCAGGTTAGTCTCAAGCTTCTGGTGATCTTCCTGCCTCAACTTCCCAAGACGCTGGGATTAGATGAGCAGAAGCACTGGAGGAAAGAAACACCAGGTGCTGCAGAGAGCCTGGAGAAGGGACACCAGCGCAGCCTGGAAGTGCCAGATGCACAGACAGAAGTCTAGGTGCTGACCTCAGCAGGGGCACAGTACATGAGCAGGGAGAGCCAGGCAGAAACACCCCCATCAAACAGGACGCTCCCTGCACTGCACCAGACCATCTGATATGTGCTTCCCAACGCTGAAATAAAAGCCTCACACACTCCCAGCATAGTTTAACACCACTTCAGCCACTTTATTTTTTTAAAAGAGAGAGAGAGAGAGAGAATTTTAATATTTATTTTTTAGTTTTCGGCGGACACAACATCTTTGTTTGTATGTGGTGCTGAGGATTGAACCCGGGCTGCATGCATGCCAGGTGAGCGCGCTACCGCTTGAGCCACATCCCCAGCCCAACTTCAGCCACTTTTATTCTATAAGTTAAATATATATTTTTAATATGTATTTTTTAGGTGTAGATGGACACAACATAATGCCTTTATTTTTTTTATGTGGTGCTAAGAATCGAACCCGGGTCCAGCCTGTGCTAGGCGAGTGCTCTACCGCTGAGCCACAATCCCAACCCCTCTATAAGTTAAAAATTAACAAATATAAAACAGTAAAGCTCTATGCTCATAACCATTATACAATTACAAAATAAAAACCGTACAAATTTTAGAGACTGCAAACTGGTAGCAATGTATCAAATTAACAAAACCTAACAGCAAATCTACAAAATAAAATAAAAAATTGAAATTGACAAAATCGAGTCAATGTGACCAATGATGCACCGAAACTCACTCTGCAGGGCAGGCACGCTGTGTGTGGCTACCGCAGACATTGCTCTCCTCCCTCTTGAGCGGCTGTGAACCAGGAGTCTCCACTGAGCGCAGACATATTCTGTGCATTTTCAGCCCTGCTCTTTCCTAAGACCCCCTATATCTAAGATAGTGCTTCTTGGCACCACACAAACACAACTGCAGGCAGTGAAATCTTCAGACACTATTGGGCTAGAATTGCAGGCAATTCGGTATTTTGAAATATAATTTTTTAAAACAAAAATTACCTTTAAAAGGAAAAATAGAAGGTGAAATCCTTGTAGAGAACCACAGCATTGTAATAAATCCCACCTGCTTAATCCCTCTCATCTTTTGGGGCCTGCAAGCCTCTAAAGGAGTTTAAATAACTGTATGTTGTGGGCCACTGAACTCAAACAGAAAAGCATTCTTGTGGTTCACTTTTAGTACTATGTAAAACCAAATGTCTAACTTTATTTCCTATAAAATCTCAGGCCACATGATTTCCAGTTAAGATGGCACAATAAATTCCCTCTTTGATGGATTCTCTCTGCTCCAGATACACAGCAACCAGAGGGCTGCTCTATAAAAAAATGCAAGCCAGCTCGAAAACATACATAAACGTGTCTGCGAAGTAGGTGTGGGACAGAAACACAGAAAGGCCAACCCCCAAAGGCAAACGCTTCTGCTGCCTGTGCTCAGGAACCAAAAACAGGCTCCCAAACCGGAGGTCTGAGCTCTACGAGATGTGGGGTCTTAACAGGGCCACAAGGTAGAGTCAGACCAGCACCACTGCTCAAAGGAAGGGTGGCAGGTGGTAACCGAGTCCTGTCCATTTCTCCTCCTTGCCTCTTATAGAACCTGCTCTGGGGAGGGTACGGCCCAGCCAGGACCAGGAACTCGGGAGGCAGCCCACAGCTGCCAGGTAAGTGAGCCACCCCTGCCAAGCCTCGTCCTGGACCCGGGTTCCCTGGGATCCAGCCAGGCAGTTAAGACTTTGCATCAGGGAAGGCAGACAGTGAGGAAGATAAATACCAAATGACTAAGTGAATGAACACAATTAAAAAAAAATCTCATTCAAAGCATGCCATTCAACGAAAGTCAAAGTTCAGGAAGAAATCTAATGGCAATAAAAACTTACACATTCACTACGACAAAAATTCACATCAGATGAAATTAGTCATTCCAACAAAATGGGTGTATTTAAAGTGCTAGAAGGTAATTAAAAAAGAAAAAGAAACTATAAAACAAAAAGACACAGTTAAAACGAGAGCTAAAAAAAAAAAAGAATCAATGAGGGACTATGTAACTAAGGAACAGTTATTAAACTAAAATATATTCCTGAGTACATTAAAGTATACAAGATACTTTAGACAGAACAAAACTGAAAAGAGAACTAGTAAATCTGAAGATAATTCTAAGGAATTCAACCAGAGTTCAGCCCAGGAAGAAAAGAAGAAAAACCCAAAAGAGCAGGTAAGAAACAGGAAGGACAGAGCCACAGACATCTAATGGAACCACAGCACAGGAAAGTGAAGACAATAGAGGAGAACATGGAAGGAGATGAAAGCTAAGAATGCTCAAGAAGGAGTCCTCAGACTAAAAGCATATTCTAAACACCAAGAAGGATCATTTAAATGAACACGAAGGCAGTGGAACCAATAAACAAATGCACACAACTATAACATTAATTATAAAAAGAAAATCTTCAAAGCTCCCAGGAAGCACCCTGGCATGCCGAACACACTGTCCCTCCATTGACCTGCTGGGTCACAGACCAGCACCCAGAACAGCCAAGGTGACTTGGACCTGGCTGGAGGCCTCTGGAAACAACAAGTGACCCAACAGATAGGARGAGCATGCCCTGTGATCCAGAGTCCCTGCAGCAAGCACCATGCCTCTCCGTGAACAGCTGGTGGGTGCCAGGTGACAAAACCACCCTTCACTCTAGACACCCACAGAAACCTCTTTAAAAAGCAGACCCCCAGTGGGCGCCATGCTGCACGCCTGTAATTCTACCTACTCAGGAGGCTGAGGCAGGAGGATTACAAATTCAAGGTCAACCTAGGCAACCTAGTGAGACCCTGTATCAAAAGAAATATAAAAGGGCTGGAAATGTAGCTCAGAGGTAGAGTGCCGCTGGATTGAATCCCCAGGAATGAGTGAATGAATTAATTAATTAATCAACAAATAAACAAAGGTGTGAAGCCAGGGGTACACTGGCAAGGGTCTGTAGTCCCAGCTACTCTGGAGTCTGAGGCAGATGTCCAGGAGTTCAGGATCAGCCTGGGCAACAAAATTTTGAGACTCAGTCTCAAAATCATTTTTTAAAGGGTTGGGGATGTAGCTCAGTAGGAGAGTGCCTGTCCAGCCTGGGCAAGGCACTGGCTTCAATCCCCATACCACACACACACGAAAAAAAGAAAAAGTAGATCCCTAACTGCTCTGGCGACCTCTAACAACAGGGGACCGGTCCTTTTTAGAACAGAGACTCACTCTAGACATCAGCATGTTATCCCTGCCCACCCTGCTCTGCCAGCACCACCCAGTATGGACCTCACCAGATTCCTGGTTCCCCACCATGGTGTCACAACCAGCCTTGGGCCAGGGAACTCATCACACAACAAGGACTAGGGCACCAGGCCAACGGAGATGGGCTTTGGTGACTGCTGCCATCAGGAGCTACTACTGGAACTCAACGTTTTTCACGCAGGTTCCTTCGGGGCTTCCCACTTCTCCATGGCTACATCAGTTCTCCTGCATCTTCTCTGAAGCCAAAGGGAAGAGAAACGCAGGGAGACGGGCGACAGCCTGAGCAAGTGGGAGAGGACTTGGCATGGAGACCACAGGTGAATTGCAATTTTAAACACAATCTTGGAAAACTGGAAACACACAATATACACGATATTTTAAAAAAGACTAGACACATTTTTCTTTAAAAGGTCACCAAACCTCTCATTTATGTTCCCCTGGAAGGTAGAGCTCAGACATGCCAGAGAAGGCAGAGCCCTGACCTCACCAGCTCATTTCCAAACAGAAAACCTTCTCACCAAAACCAACCACGTGACGCTGTCTAGGCAGCGTGTCTGACAGGCACCCAGGAAACACACAAGACAAGGCCTGGGACTGGCCACTCAGCTCACAGAACCTTTCTGCAGGCGATGCTATGCTGTGGCACAAGAGCACCACCTACTGAAACAGTTCCAAGGGACAATTTGGTCCATGTATTGAAAAATGGCTCAAAAAACATGACTGTGGAAGGTGGGCTCCCAGCATTTCCACCAGCTGGAGGCGTCTTTTTCATTTAAAATTAGAGGGAGTGCTTGCCAAGAACTCCTGAAACCAAAATAAGCAGTGTCCTTCTCCCTCCTCCACTTCCTTCAGTCACTGCAGGAAAACGAGTCTCCATCCCTCGCCCAACTGTGGCTGGCTGCATGATTACTATTTCTAGACCCGTCACCTACCTGTTTTCCACAGGGTAGAGAAGACTTCAAGGGCGGAAGCAGTAGTCACTCTAACAGGTCTGGGAAGGATGGATGTAAATCAAGCCCTTTAGCCAAATTTCAGTCCCTRTAAGACACAGTGCCAAGATCAAGGGCTACAAGTTCCTGCCTCCGAGCCTCCTGGGTCTCCCGTCTGCTCCACCCTGCAGCTTTCATCTGTGGATGGGTTTCACCTGCTACCTCTGGTGAAATATTATCATTTGTTCAGCAATATCTCCAGCTATGAAGGAAAGCTCTGGAAACGAGAATGTCTCTCATACTCAGAATAGTCACTATCTGGCCATTATTTGGGGAAGGAGGAGGAGGAAAGAAATAGAGGGAAGGTGYCAGCAGTCCCTAGGTAAGGAGGAATTCTCTGAACTATCTTATGATAAAAGTTCGGCACAGGAGAGGAACGTAACAGAATAAGAAAAGAAAAAAAATTAGGCCAGGATTATGGGGTGAGGAAGGAAATCGGGGGTGAGGAAGGAAATCAGACGATAACAGAGGAGTTTCAGGGCAGTGGAACTATTCTGCACAACACTACATTGCAGACACATGTCATCATGCATTTGTCTAAAATCACAGACTGTACAAAACCAAAAGAAGGCACTGACATGAACTAGGGACTTTACCTGACAAAGATGTGTAATGCACACTCATGGACTGCAACAAATGCACCACTCAGGGGTGGGGGGCATGCTGATGGAGGGTGAAAGCTAGGGCAGTGGGTGGAGAGAAAACTGACCCTAAAACTGCTCTAAGAATCAAATCACAGGCTGGGGCGCAGCTCAGTGGCAAGGGGCCTGCCTAGCATGTGCAAGACCCTGGGTTTCATTCCCAGCACCACACGAAGGGAGGAAGAGAGGGAGGGATGGAGGGAGAGAGAGAGGAAGTCTATTATAAACAATAGCTAAAGGCTATGTGACAGGAGCAGGTGCAAGTGTCACCCATTAACGGTCAAACCTACCCTAGACACTCTGAGACAAGGGTCAGAAACAAGACAGAGGGTGAAGGCAAGAAAGCTTCCCAAGCACATCTGCTGTAGTCAGCCCTCACCTCACCAGCTGTGTAACAAAACCTGTCAGCTCACTTGCAAGGAGAAGGCTAAGTGGAGGAAAGAACTGGGAGTAAGTCAGGAGACTTTTTTCTGGACTTGGGAACAACTATCAAACACTGACCTCAGAAACTATTCCTTCAAAGAAGCCACAATTTGATTAATTTGTGCAATGATTTATGTCCCAGGGCATTGTGCAGAGCAACAGACCAGCCAGGCATGGTGGTGCATGCCTGTAATCCCAGCAACTCTGGAGGCTGAGGCAGAAGGACTGCAAGTTTGAGGCCAGCCTGGGCAATTTGCAAGACCCTGTCTCAAAATAAATTAAAAGGACCAGGGGTGGAGCTCAGCASTAAAGTGCTCCCCAGTTCAATCCCCAGTCTCTTCCCTTCAAAAAGAACAACAGAACAGTTAGCCAGCAAACAGATGAGCTCAACACCTGGCACAGTCATGTCAGCAGAGGAGTTGAAGGGAACCTTAGGAGTATCACTGTCATTCAGGATGAACAAGGGCTGTGACCATGGGCCAGGGGTCAAGCTGCACCTCCCCAAGGAGCACCATGAGAGGCATAAAACCACAGGAAGGGAAAGAGCCCAGCCAGATACTGATGAAATAAGCAAGCAAACAACAACATAAACTCCAGGGAGGGGACACACACACACACACACACACACACACACACTCCCCCCACCCCTCTCTCTCTCTCCAGGGCAGCAGAAGTGCATTACAAGAACAACAGATGTTAGATTTATCAGAAAAATCTTTCGAATTGGCATCACAAACATGTTACCAGAGCTAAAAAAAAAAAAAAAAAAAAAAAACCAAACCCAGGATTAAAGGGTAAAGGAAGGTATGACAACATTGCATCAAGTAGATAACGACACTAAACACCCAGAGATTGTACAAGAGGACTGAATGAAGATTCCAGAGTTGAAAAGAACAATTGGAAGAAGAAGAAGAAAACTTCACTATGTGGCTCAAGCATAGATTTAAAAGTGGCAGAAGAAAAAATAAGCAAAACCGAAGCCAGATCAAGCCAAAGAACAGAGTCAAAAAGGAAGAAAGAAAAATGAAGAGCACCCCAGAGAAACATGGAGCCCATTTCACAGACATTCAGACCCGAGCCAGAGCTGGCCTGTGAAGATGYACAGGGCGAACAAGCACTGGAAACCTACTCAAAAGGAGAGTGAAAACATTCAAGAAGTGAAAAGCTACATTTGAATTATCCACTTAAGACAAAGGAATACAATAAAAAAAAAAGATGGAGAGAAGAGCATCAAATCAGATCCAACTATATATATAATACCACTGAAGGGGAAGGCACAAACATCCAGTCGAACTGGATCAAAACCAGCTCCAACCCCAGGCTGCCCGTGGAGGATACATTCTAGATTCAAAACTACAAAAAGACTGCAAATAAAAGCATGAAAAAGATACATCATAGGAACATAAGAAAGCTTGTGTGGGTACACTGATAGCCAAAGTAGACCTCAAGACAAAAGGATGCTATCAGAGATAAAAAGGACAGTTTTTAATGACAAAAGGGTCAATGTGCAAAGAAGAAATAACAATTCTAAATACACCCCTGCCCAATAACAGAGCACAGACTATATAAAGCAAAAAATGACACAAATGAAGAAACAGAAAATTTAATATTACTACTGAGATTTTGAAACTTTCAAAAGTTGAGAGAACAACTAGAAAGAAGACACACAGTAGAATGGTATGCCTGAATACAGACTGGACCCAACAGAAGCTGCAGGCCTCTCCAGAACAACACAACGGACGTCATCCTCAGGTCTACAGGCATCCTCGCTGGGATGGACTGCGTGAGGCCCTAAAACAAGGCTTAATATACTTAAAAGAATAGAAATTCGGGGCTGGGGATGTGGCTCAAGCGGTAGCACGCTCGCCTGGCATGCGTGCGGCCCGGGTTCGATCCTCAGCACCACATACCAACAAAGATGTTGTGTCCGCTGAGAACTAAAAAATAAAAAAAAAAAAAAAAAAAGAACAGAAATCCATCTGACCTGTGCTCTGATCACAAAGGAATGAAATTAGAAATCAGCAGCAGAAAAACTGGGGGAAAGTCACAAATATGTAGAAATTAACACACTGCTAAATAACCCATGGCTTAAAAAAAAAAAAGAGAGAAAAATCAGAAATGCTTTGAGGCAATGAAAACAAGGACACAATGCACTCAAACTTATGGGATGCGACTGACAGAGCTCAGAGGGAAACATACAGTCACAACCGCTTACATCAGAAAGAAGCACGCCATCAAATCAGGACCCTAATCTCCCACCTTGGGAAACCACGACAGAGGGAAAAAGACCAACTGGAATCTGTACAAGCAGAAATAAGATCAGAGTGGAAATTAACTCAAAAGATGAGAAAACCAAGAGAAAAATCAACAAATGTATAAGTTGGTTCCTTGAAAACTGYAACAAAATTAACAAGCTTTTAGTTGTGCTGACCGACCGAGAAAAAAGAGAAAACTCCGGTGACTGGACTTAGGAATTAAAGAGGAAACCTCACGACTGTAGTCATGGAAATAAAGGGAAAAGGGATCAAAAAGGAAGACCGTGAAGAACACACTAGTAAAGCAGAAACCTTAGATGAAATGGCACAGTCTAGAAAGATAAGTTGACTAAACTGACCCAAGAAGGAGTGGCCATATGGCCACTCCTAGGACTAGCAGAGACAAAACTGGTAATGGAGGGAACCCGCAGTGCGAGCACACTCAGACCCATGTGTTCTTCGCTGACTGCCCCACAACTTGGGACAAGATGAGAGGGAGAAATCTGTGGCTCAAGGCGTGAGTCAACTCAGTCTTTGACAACCATTCCCTAAATGGAAATGTCCTCTGTAAGAGGATGTCCCTCTCGCTTGACGTTAACAATGACATTTTAGGAGAGATTTACTGAACTGAGCAGAGGTGCTGAGGCAACACGCCACCCTGACAACACAGGCGCCTGGTGCCMGGGACAGGGAAAGCAGAGGACGTCCTGGTGAACTCTGCCTACAGCCAGTGGGGCTGCTCCAAACACGCAGCCGGTCAGTTCTGGAACACACAGTGTCAGAGGATGGGGTAAGGGAACAAAGAGGCACAATATATGCRGTTTATTGTAGAAAATTACCCAGATTGCTTGGTCATTCTACAGCTGTCACCTCTGAATTCATTCTTTGAAGTTCTGTGTCAAACACTGTTGCACTGCCAAGTTGTTTACTGGAAATACAGGCTTTCCTACATTTGTATAAATATAAAAAAAAGTCTACTTACCATGTTTCAATAACAATATTAGATGCAAGCAAATAACTTACTTTACAAAAGATAAAAATGTAATAAATGGCAACAGCTTAAATAGGCATAAGAGCAAACCTTTTCCAAAAATGTGGACAACTACTTATGGGACACAGGTGCTTTTTTCTATGTGTCTAACACAGATCAGAGGGACTGAGCTCCCAGGAGGCCAACTCAGGAGGCGAGAGGCCAGAGTTGCAACCCCTGGTCTCTGCACACCAACCATGTGACCCGGGGAAGCTACTCAACCTCTCTGGGCCACAGCTGCTGCATCTGTAAGGAGAAAGAACCTAGCACAGTTTCTGTGAGTAATAAAGTGCACGAGCTGCAAGGGAAGCCCTGAGAACCAGCCCAGCCACTGTGAGCATCAACAAGTACCAGCACCATCAGCACCATGAATAAGATATGTGAGTGTGTCCCCACAGGTTCCTGTGCTAGAAGCCTGGTCTTCAGAGTGGCAGTGCCGAGGGGCAATGTAAGAGGTGGAGCCTGCTGCAAGGTGACTAGGAAGGGGTTGACGCAGTTTTCATAGGATCCCTGTTCCCAAAAGAGCAGGATAACACAGAGAGTCTGGCCCCTGAATCCCACTATGGGGTCTCTCCCTCTCACACACACTCCCACAGCGACACCACCCACCATGTTGCCATGTAGCCAGATGGGCCTCACCAGAGCTGAGCAAGAGCAGGATCCAGGCTCTGGG